ATCCGTGGGTGCCTAATGGAAAACAGTTCAACCATGCGTGGGATAAGTCGTCTCAACTTTGTCTTTGACCTTCTGGAGAGGCGGGCTCTGGAAAATATGTAGATATATAAGGAACCCATTGGCAGAGCCCACCTCATTACACACTAAAAAACGCAATCGACCATCAAATTACAAAGCAAATAAAATGCAAATAGGTTTTTTCTTTTTCCTTCTCTGGTGTGGGGTTGTGTTTTTCCGAGTGTAAGTACGTATTTTTCTAGCATCCCACGGACGGAGCCGGTTCCAATTTCATGCAGCTGACCACGGACCCTGTCCCTGTCCCTGTCCCTGCCCCCGACCTGGCAGGCACTGTAATTGTAATGGCTGAGTCGCCGGATTCGAGTGGATTAAACAATTTCCACATTTAACATGGCGCATCTTTAACCTTTGCCACAATATATTGTATTTTCGGGGATGTCTTCTTGTCTTCCCGCTATTGTGCTGCTGTCCCCGGGACGGACCCGCGTGTGCGGCTTAATTTTGGTGCCGGCGATAAGAATTTTTAGCGACGTTGTCATTTGGGGGCTTTGGCTTTTACGAGTCGACACAAAGGACGCATATCCTCGTTGGCCTCGTTGGACTCGTTGGCCTCGTTGGTGTGCGTCTAATTAGATGCTTTACCTAATTAGTCGGTTTTATGTGAGACTCTTTATGCCCTTGGCTTACCTTTCGGTCGTAGCCGGGATTTGCTGGGTCCTCAGCCGTATTTCAGTCCAGAAGATCCCGCCCTGTCGATATGTGCCAGCGGATGACTTAGCGGTGGGGGGAGTCAATTCAGAAGCTGCTTCGGTAGGAGCTGAGAATGTTATAAACTTTAACGCTTATTAAAAATTCCGAGCGCCCAGGAAAATATCCACAGTGCCATGACAATAATGTGAACTAAAGCAGCGCATTTTCTGCTGATTTTCGCAGCTTGAGATTTTCCATTTACCCATCAGCCGGCGACGCTTCCCTGGGCTGCCTCCAGCTTCCTCAGCGTCTCGTCTCGTCTCGCTCCTCCACACTGTTGTATTTTTCAATTTCTTACAGAACGGGGACTGCATTCCTTCACCTGACTGTCTTTGATGCGTTAGATGACAGCCAGAGCAACAGCGCCAGCAATCTGCTGCCGGGCTCCCATATGAACTCCCATTTGGACTCCGCTGGAACTTGGATGGGAGAATGGGATGTCGCCCCCTCAACCGAATTGAACTTGTCACAAAAGAATTCATTTTGCAGCGTTTGGAATTTCCCCTTGCTGTTGTAGAGGGGGAGAAAATGTGCGTGCAAAAGCTTTGTGAGCTTTGCTTGCTTGGCCTCTGACTCGGGGGTTCGGATTCTTATTCTGCTCTGGTTTGTCCGGGCCTGTGTCCGGGATACCTCCTTACCCTCCACTTCATCGGTTCTGGCTTCGATAACTGGAATTCAATAAATATTACTAAAACACTCGCATACGCCTCCGACCTTTCGTTCGGCCTTTTCTTTTTCGCTGCCACATTTTCCTTTGTGCGTTTAACGGAAGAAGTAGCAGATGCCGAGCCAAAGGCGGACATTTTCACATAATTTCTCCCCTTTGGGATCCATTTTTAGTGTCACCCCTGCCCCCACCATCACCATCACCATCCCCATACCCAGCCCCATCCTAGAATACCATTAACTTCCAGAGGGTGAGTACATTTTGGCTTATTTTATGACGCGTTTTGTTACCAAAACGAAAATTTTTGGTAATACCAAAGACATTTAATTGCCTAATTGTTTTGTTTTTGGCATTTTATTGCAGTATGGACTGGTTTTTATGGAGAACAGGACCGAGCAGAGCACGCCATTCTTTTTATGGCTTAATTACTTAAATGCTTTTTATTTTGCATGCGCCGGCCATAATCATAAACAAATTATAGAAGTGGAAATTGTGATATCTGCCACTGCGTCTCTTGCAAATGCTCTGAGGGAGTTGGTACTCCTAGTTTACAGACGAGATCGGAGCAAAAAGATTTCAGAATGACATATAGAGTTGATCGTTTGCCCCCCTATTTACACAGGTTTTTCTCTCCTCCATTCCTTTAGTGTTCTTTGCTGTTGCTGGTAGCGGTTCTTCGCCATTCCGACCCTTGCGAAATGTTTTCGCATTTCGAATTTCCGGTCTAATTGTGGATCACAGCCCCGGCCAAGGACGGCCCTTATTCATCGCTATCCCTAAGTGCACCCCATTCCCAGCCCCTTCTGTCCTATTTATTTGGCTTTGGTTTCCTTTCTCATCTTTTATTTTATAATTTTTTTTCTGAAATTAATGCCGCAAACACTAATTAATTGCGCAGGTGTTGCAGCTGTTATACTGTTGTTTTTTGTGGGTGTCGTTCGGTGGGTGTCAGTGGGTGTCAGTGGGTGTCGTCCGGTGCTGCTGTTGTTATTCCATGGGATAAGCCTAATTGAATTTCTGTAGGTTTTTGCTACGCTTGCGGATTCGCCTGATGGTCCGCAGAGGAGAGGGGATAGGGGAAAGCTCGAATACCGTTGATTTTGTATATAATTAATTACAAAACTGCCGCTAAAGGGTGCAGAATGCATGTATTATCATTAAACAATTGATTTTAAACAGCCAGTAGTGTTCGTAGAGTGAAAAGCATATCTGAAATGTATCTGAAATAGCTGGCGGTTCCTTTTGAAAGAAGCTTCAGTAGCATATATGCTTTAATCAGGCCGATCACCTATCTCTAAATGTGTCCTTTCTTTAGGTACCTTCTGGGCTTAGCAGCTCCCACGAGGTTGACCGTAATCAAATTCACGCTTTTTGTTTTATTTAATTGTTTTTCTTTTTAATTGCTCATAGTTAATAAGTTGACTTTTACGACTGGCCCTGAGAGCACGTAAAATTTGCATATGGCTGCGGGGATAGCACCGAGGAGGGCAGAGCTTTTCGCTTTAGGTCGGGATCGGGATTGGGGTCGGTCGGGGACTCTTGTGATGGCAGCTCCTTCAACGGTCGACGGCATTATTATAATGTCAACGTAATGTTGTCGTCAAATAGTTTTTCGCGTGACATTTGCATTTCAGTTCAGTTCAGTTCGGTTGGGTTAGGTTGGGTAGACGCGGGGGCCCTGGGGTCCGATGACATTTCATTAGCCTCCCAGTTCTTTGTTCGGGCACATAATAACGTGTGCCATTGTTTTTCATTGTCGTTTTATGTGCTGTTTATATTTTTATGGCATGCCATATAGTATTTAATATTTATATTATATATGAGCGGCATGCGACGCCTCCCCCGCCCCATACCGCCAGCCCTATCATGTCTCCGATAAAACAGTTTTATTCCCTTCCAGTCCCCCAATGGAGGAGCTCTCAGTTCGAGCAGAAATCAAACTACTTGAGAAGTCCCCGGATCGTCGTAGACTTCATTCGTGTTTGCTGCTAGTATTGTCTATAAATCTACGGAAGGCTCCCTCAGCCGCAACAACAAACACGTTGACATTATGAATTTATTACTATTTAAATATTTTATTTCTGCTAGGGCCATGGCAGGCGACGATGGGCCCCAATAATCGCTCTGACATTTTGTTTTGCCTGGCGTGCGTATCTATTTACGAGTTTGTGCGGGCAAGTTTTGTCTCCAAAGTTAAGGAGCGGAGGGGCCCATCCATGACACAGGTACACTCATAGAGTTTGAGTAGGTCATGAATTATCGATGCTGTCAGCAGTAAATATTTGTAATATAAGCGATCAAAAGTTCTTCTTTGCACGTGAGCATCCAGAAAAGTCTAAGCAAACTTTAGGGCAGAGCTCTACTCCAAACTGTTAGTGATAATTTATTGTTATACTAAATATTAAGTATGTACATATGATATCAGCCACTCATCCGAATGTCACTTTAATTACTAATCAGGCAGCTTCGTTTGTATATACTTCGGGCCAATCAGCAAACCAGTTCAATGTTTGGACTTGAGATTCGAAACTCTGTTAGACTTTGGCACTGGCACTGGGCTACAAGATTTGGCCTCATCAAAGCCGGAGAGAAGAAAGAGAGAAACCGATTATTCCAAGACAATTCGGAAACCGGTATTTTGGAGCCAGATAGAACAAACACTTTAGCTGCAGATATTCTGAGAAACCCAATTCAAGTGCAGGCCACAGGGGCTTGGCTGATTTATTCACAATTGAGTATTTATTTCTTCGTATTTGTACATTAATATTTTGTATGTAGATGCTGGTCTCGAAAATTATTAATGAATAGATGAATATTGTAATGTGCTATTGATATTTTGGAGAAGTCAAGGAAATGACTAGACTTTGACACTCTTAAGGGAGTCGGAAAAAATAATGTCGGTATAGAAAGCTCTGTCCACAAAATAAGACAATTTTCTAAGTTCTAAATTAGTTTTTTTTCTTATTCTTTTCGCCAATATTCTAAGATTCTAAGACATAAACGCGGGCCGAAATTTGGATCAAGTTGAAGGATTTGTATTCATTAGTACAGCAAATTGGTTGACGCTTGGATGAGCGCTGGTCCTCTCCGAAAAAAGTAGATTTATTTAATCGGTAGCCAAGTCTGAAATCACTATTAGCACTTACATTATGCAAATCAAATTACCCCGACCTTATAATGAGCACGAGTGTCGATCATTAAAGCCAATTAGCAGTACAATGGCAATCGTAACTGGACGCGACGCGCTGAATAATTGCAGGGGACCTAGTGGATTGAGTGGACTTTAAGCCAGACTGGAAAACAGGTGACTCAGACCAGGTAATCAGCGATCGGAGGAACCAGGCGCAGATCTAAAACAATGCGAAAAAATCGAGAGAGAGAATCATTAAGCCTCGATTAAAAATAAACTATAAGAGATACATTAGCCAGTGCGCGTATATAGGGTACAATGTGGTCAGCGGAGTAGAGCGAACACAAAAAGCGATAATAAAAGCACAAGTCAGACAAGCGGTATGCAAAATCATATAAAAGCTAGTGGCCGGCCGAGTGGAGCCAACAGTTCCGATACCAAAGGTTTTCCGACACCATCATCTCGATCAGCACAATGAAGCTCCTGATTGTCCTCTCCGCCCTGGTGGCTCTCGCCGTCGCTGTGAGTGCCGGCGATCCTTTCCTTTGGACTGCAGATGTAACTACGAATCTCCTTCTCCTTGCAGGACCTGCAGCTCTCGGATGAGCAGAAGGCCGCGGCCCACGCCAACGGGGCGCTGTGCATCCAGCAGGAGGGCATCACCAAGGAGCAGGCTCTGGCCCTGCGGGCCGGCAACTTCGAGGACAGCGATCCCAAGGTCAAGTGTTTCGCAAACTGCTTCCTGGAGAAGTCTGGTTTTCTGGCCGATGGCCAGATCAAGCCCGATGTGGTTCTGGCCAAGCTTGGTCCCCTGGCCGGCGAGGACACTGTCAAGGCTGTCCAGGCCAAATGCGACTCCCTGAAGGGGTCCGACAACTGTGACACAGCCTTCCAGCTGTACCAGTGCTACCACAAGCACCACAGCCAGATCTAGGCCCACTCTCAGTAGGACCTTCAAATGTATTATGTGCAAGAATGTATCTGTGAATTGTTAAGCACTTGTTCTTCCAACCAAAGTAAATGTAAAACGTCAAAGGTATAATTAATGGAATGCTTTACAGATTCTTAGACCTCTTCCGAACCCAATTTCAGAGCTATCGAAATTTATATAAACTTTGGAATCACCTCAGACATCAGCCCAGCCCCTGTCTTTGCCTTTGCGCATCTCAAAGGAAAATACAAATTTTCTAAATTCTTATATACATATACATAATTACTTATGCATATTTGACTTGTCATTGGATGCTCCACTGTACGAGTATGAGCCATTTGCATAACAGTGGGCCATCATTAGAGCCCACTGTCAGACCGTCGTCAGGGGGCTTAAGTCCTTGGGCGGGGTGGCCGATCCCCAAGGCATTTGCACGCTCATGTACGAGCGTATTGCATAAATATTGATGAGCGGCGCCCGGCAAACTTTATACCACAAAAGACCTTAAAGGAGGCATACGAGGAGGCGTAATATCCGAACAAATGATTCGGACAGAGCAGCAAGGGCTGGGCTGGGCTGTGCCGGGACGGCTTTTTAAAGGCCCAAATCCAATTAACAAATCATTAAACATTCATTGAGCACGTGTCGCAATTGCAGTCACCAGTTAAGCTCGGATCCGTTGGGTTGAGTTGGGCTTAGGTCAGGTGGTCTGTTGCCGCCGTTTGTTGTTGTTGGGTTTGCCGGTTTGCACGTTAGGGACAATTGCTTTGGGGAATTTGGAGCAGAGCCATTAGCTCGTGGGATGTACTGAACAGACGCCGGAATGGCTGGACTTGGCGTCTATAATTCATTTTGTCACTCCCTGCTCCGTCTGGCTGGATCTCGACAGCGGGAATGGCAGGAATAGCAGGGATGGCAGGGATGTCAGGGGGATGGGCCTGTCATGTCACTTCCATTTAGCATCCGTTTCAGTTGCAGTTGTCCGCACAAGAGCTTCGGCATAATCAGTGATGCGTTTACTAATGTCTATTAAAAAGGCAGCAGTCCTGACCATCCCGCCCACTCTCCTTCAACTCTCCGGCTAATGCATTTAAGTAGACAGCTCCTGGTCCCGTCGCTGTTTCTGTTCCAGTCCCTGTCCCTGTCCCGGCGGCTTGTCAAAGAAACCAACACGCGTGATATCCTCCATGGTTGCTGGTCCGGTATACACACACACACAGATGCGGTGTGGGTCCTGTGCTTCGTGATCCGTGGACGCTGCCAAAGGGACAAACACATTGATGGCTTGACTTGGCCTTTGTCTTGAGCGACAGACTTTTCTCTTGCTTGGCCTGTCTCCGTCTCTTCCTCTGCCTTGTCCTGTTCCTGCCACATTGCTTTCAATGGAAGAGCAAAGAAATGATTCGCTTCAATGGGGTTGGTGTGGGTGGCTGGATTGGGCGGGAGTGGGAGTAGGAGTGGATGTGGGGCTGTTAGCCTGCGGTTCTCGCATTAATGTAATTTAATTTTATAATAAAAACTACGCTGTGGGGTGTACGACTCAGTATTGGCCCTGTCTTTCTTGAGTCTTTCTCTCTTTGATCTTAGAGTCCAATATGTTTCAGGGTTAGTGCGAGTAATGTTGTTCCTGTGCCTGACTCCTGATTATCAGCACAAGTCTGTTATTAAGTTCATCAATTAGATGTGGTCTTTGAAGACATTTAAAAGGGGGAAAGGCAGGTAAGGGTAAGGCAGGAAGAAGGATTGGCAATCAACAAAGACTTCTAGTCATCGGAAAAACTCTCCAGACACATCATTATTGTACATGTGTATATGACAAACAGTGTAGAATAAACTTTCGATCCATCGGCATATATGTCTACATAGAGATTTTAATAGCTTTTGTCGACCTTTTCCAAACAGTTTTATGGGGCAGGGCACGCGATTGGCTTCTTGTTGATTCATCTGCCAAATTGAGCATGAACTTTTTTGCACAGATCGGTTTGCTCTGCTGTCATTTTACAAATCGATTATAGAGGCCATTAAACGGGGCTAAAAAAATATGACAAATATGTACATATGTTCTGGGCCAACGCTAATGGGAGTTCTCATATGCAAATGGGTGCTTTGACTGCGCACTGAGGCGTGGCCCGATTCGGTTCTGGATCTGCAAACGTATAATTACTGGAAACGACCATCAGTTGAGGGCGCGATCCATTAAAGATCTGTCAGATCGGCCAGTGAGGCGTTACAATGGTTTGCAGATCGCTCCGATCGCTCCGATCGCCGTCGATTAAACTGCAATTAAAATTTGCAATTACCGTCAGATGATCCCTGGAAGGGAGCTCTATAAAAGCAGCCGACTCGATGGCCAGAGTGAAGTTTCCAGTGGGAGTGACAACGGGAGACCAATTCAATGTTTTTTCGGAACCAATTTCTGTTTCTGCTGTGCCTGGGCCTCAGCGATCTGCTGCCACTGGCATGGGTAATACAAATCGCGGCTCAGAGAGAAATTTCAAGAGTACCAGGGTTCTATTCCATCCATTTCATAGAGCCGATCGCTGACTGTCACGCTAAACATGTCCCTGACCCGTTCCGTGGAGGAGGACGAGAAGAATCCAACGAAAGCAACGCTCACCGAGGACATGCTGCAGTCGTGCATCCGCAGGACAGAGATCTCCATGTCGCAGCTGAAGCTCTTCCACATGAGCCTCCTGAACAACGACTACAACAACGAGAATGAGGTGGTGCCCCCCATACCCCTAGGCGAGAACAGTCTGCCAGACTCGGAGTACGGCATCAGTTCGCAGATGCCATACCTTGACATCAAGGGCAACGAGCCGCTACAGTGCTTCGTGAGCTGCCTGTACGAGAATATAGACGTCTACCGATACAATATCCTGCTGGAGCATGCTTTCCGTCAACAGGTACAGACCATGCTGCAGAAGGAGAAGCCAGCGGTCAAGGAATGCAGCGACCTCCAGGGCCGCACCCGCTGCGAGGCGGCCTACAAGCTGCACCTCTGCTACAATCACCTGAAGACCCTGGAGGCGGAGCAGCGAATAAGGGATATTATCGAGCGGAGCGAAATGGGGGAGGGTGATCTCGGCCTAGACGGCGAGAAGGACCCCGCCGGCGAAGTCATCGATGGCATTCAGCATTCCAATGAAGCCGAATCTAAGGAGGAATAAATCTTCAAACGTATCTACAGGGTATACTAGGCGTCTCTAATATTTAATCAGTTTGTTCTTACTTGTCCAAAGAAATAATCTCTTAACATTTCAGCCTGAAAAGCAGGTATATAAATATTATAAAAACGCTTGAGAAATTAAATAAATTGAAACAGACTTGCTTCGAAACTGACACTTTAAGATCCGAGCTCATTTTAAGATTGTTTAATAAAATATATACTGTATATGTTATATGTTATACATATATCCAAACGATAGCCGCCATTTAGTGTATACCTTTCTGGTGATTCAATACGTTTTTCGTTCTCTATCAGAACCAGACAATACAAGTTTGCTTCTTTCAATCCCGTTAACCGATCGGTATATATAATATAAAAATCTATAATACTCAATTATATACATATGTACATACTATCTACATTTGCACATGAGGAGAGGTCGTCTCCATCGTATATATAATACTTTTAGGGTTGAATATGTAGGGAATGCCTTATGGAGCTTTGAAGTATATTTTTGGGGCTTGGACTAGAAATCATTTTTGTGTAGAGTCCATGTAAAATTCGTGTAGAATTTCAAATTGTGGGCGTGTTCCTTTCATGTGTTCTGGTATATTTCTGATCTGCAATAAAAAAGTAGAATTCTTTTAATAGTAAATATTTTCTGGGCGAAAGAATCTGGTAGATTCTATTGGCATTGGCCCAATACCATAGGAAAGTTGGCAGAAATTTACTTGGCAAAGTTGCCCCATAATACATACATACATATGTATACAACAATGCTCCCATGGATAGGGGAAGAGGGAGCAATGGCCGCAGGACTTTGATTGCTGTTTAATGATTCTGTCGCCAGAAGAAAAATAAAAAACCCAATCCTATATTGATTCATATATCCATATTGAGCTATATTTATTTATTTGTTATTTTTATAGCCAAGCAGCATTTAAATATATTAAAAAAAAAACCCCAACAGACACACAAACAATTAACAAAAAATAATCGAGACTTTAAAATGGCAAACATTGAAATTAAATAAAGCGAAAATTATAGCCACTGACCCGAAAGATTAATTCAAGCGATGATGATTACCAAGAAATGAAAACATTGGATTCTTTTTTAAATTGAATAATAGTGTGTTAATAACTAAATTGGTTTAATTTAGCGATAGAAAATGGCTCTGTCATCTGCCTATTTAAGCCGCTTTGGGCGGACAAAATTTGGTTAGACAGAAGACGAAATTCCATCGAGATGAACGCGAATTGTTTGGTGATAGCACTGATCCTTGGACTTGCTCTTTACGAGCCGGTGGCAGTGAGTACCCAAGTCTGATTGTCCTGGAATCATTTCTTCTATCTAAAGGCGTATCTTTACAGTCCCAGAGCGCCGCGGATCTGGCCGCCTTTAAGCAGAATCAGGAGTCCTGCATCAAGGAGCTGAAAATAGGAGCTGCCGAGGCTGCGCTGCTTACCACGGACAAAGAGGTGGCCAATCCCTCGGAGGCCGTCAAGTGCTACCACAGCTGCCTCTACAAAAAGTTGGGCATGCTCACCGCCGACTCCAAGCCCATCAACGACATGATCATGAAGTTCGCGCAGCTCCGCTTCAGCAGCCTGGCTAGCGATAAGCTCAAGGCTCTGCTGACCAGCTGTGGCGCCTCCAAGGCGGCCACCACCTGCGATTTCGTATACAACTTCGAGAGGTGTGTGGTGAAGGGAGCCAAGGCCTAAAGAGTGTGCCGTCTAATGAGTAAATATCACATAATAAAGTATGTTTCGGTGCGCCGCTTTAAATGTATGTAAAATCATGCAAATCAAAATCTGGAAACTGAATGAGCTGTTTGAGGGCGGTTTTTTGTTCTGGTCAGGGCATTTCCCCCCACTTAAGATATCAAACAGGAAGGTTTCTCTGACAAATCGTGTATTCAAATAGTTATCTTATTCACTGCCCCACACAAACCAATCACTTTTTGCCAGAATTCATATTTTTTGATCTAGTTTAAGCCTTAGCTTGGGGCTTGAACTCCTCGAAGCACGCGTGCAGCTTGACTGCCCTATCACATTTGTTGTCACCTTCGATGGTGCGGCACTTTTCCAGGGCCGCCTTGGTCTTCTCCTCACCGATGAAGGAGCCCAGCTTCTCGAGGACAACGTCTTCCTGGATTTTGCCGTCCTTCAAGGTGCCGACCTTTTCGAAGAAGCAGTTGGCGAAACACTTGATGTTCTCTGTGGGATTCTTGAAGTCCTTGGCCTTCACCTTGGCTTTCTCCTCCTCGGTCAGATTCAGTTCCTGGGAGCACTGCTCGCCATGCTGCTTGGCCAGAGCCTTCTGTTCGTCATTCAGGTCGAGGGGCTGCAATTGGATATTAAAATTTAATTTCTCAACTGACAATCAGAGGAGTCTCTGGACTTCAGACTTACCGAGGCCAAGGCCAAAGCCACGAACACAGCACTCAAAGCGATCACAAAGTAGGAGTTCATATTTCGAATGACTTGCTAGAACGTTGGATGGGTTCTGATGCCAGTCTGGGCCGCGCTGGCGTCTTTTATACCCGAATCCACCGGTAATGAGAGCCGGTTTCTCTGTGCCTATGGCCCCCGGCAGTGATCCATCTAAGCCAGCTGATGATGGTTTCTGTTTTGGTTTAGGTTTTGTTTTGGTTTTGTTTGGTTTTGCCTCGACTCGTTCTTTTTTTGCGATTCGCGAGGCTTGGCTTTGTTTGCCACATCTTGGTAAGTACTTTCATCGGTCTTTGGCCCGGGGCTACGCAGACTCCGACCAGGCCCAGGCCCAGGTCCAGGTCCAGGCCTGTTCTCTATGAAAGCATGGTTCATTAAACCACAGTGCGCAAGACGGTCCGCGATGGGGAATCGAATCAATTATATAAATAGAACATAGACATGGCACAGACATGGAAGTGGTCTCAAGATCATAGGTCGGCTAGGAGTAGGAGTTGGCGATGGAGAGGGACAGGGAGAGGGAGTTGCTCTCTGTCGCTGTTCACTCATTATCGCGGCACTCTATCAACAGTCGCAACAGAAACTTTCCGCTGTGCCCCATTCCAGCTGCTGCTAAATCCCAATCCCAATCCCAGACCCACCGACAGCGCCCCGTTCCATTCTCGAACACTGAGTCGGAGAGTCAGCGAGTCAGCAAGTCAGATCCAGATATATATCGCAGTGGAGGTGTAGCTCTCGTATTGAAAGTTGAGACGCGCAAAAGGAGACAGACGACGGCAAAGTTTTTTCATTTGAATCCTATTATTTCATCGTAGTTGTAATCTTATTATCCACGAGATGACAGCAAAATGACATTTAGAAAATTTCACGCTGTGTGAAATGTAAAAAGAAAAAAAAACAAAACGGAAAAGCAAGCCACACCACAGAAAGGAGCAGATCCAACACGGGAATGCAAGAAAGTCAGCCAGGCAATGCGTATGGGCGGGCGGTGATGGACTGGAGGAGGGGTCAGTGTCGGCCCCCAAGACGGAGCTGGAGTTCCTGATTGGGACTGCGTACTGCGGTCACCTCCCCTCCACCTCTACCTCTACCTCTGCCTCTCCGACTTGGCTTTATTCTTCGGGTTGGGCGTGTTTTTCACAAGTTTTCCACTGACGGCTGCTGCCTGTCGCTGCTTTCCTTTTAATTTCAATTCTGACATTTGTTTGTCTGCTGTCAAAATAAAGTAGCTTTGGCGCAAAAGAAATAAACCTTAAGATTGCGATTGAAAATGTTTCATCTCCTCTGTCTCACACATCTTCCCCTTCGTCTTGCCCTTTCCAGCTGCGGTCGAAACTTTTCCCTCACGCAATAATAATAATAAACTAAAGCTTGTTTGACTTTTCTGGAAATTCTTTGAAATCCTCGTGTGGTAATCTTAATTCAATTTGCCTGCGGCAGGGACACTCGCCACGAATGACAAACTCTATGCCAGGCAAGATTGACGGTTCGTATTTGTCTAAGAGATCCAGTTTACGAAACCACAATTTTCTGAAACCTAAAAACTTTATCATAAAAGAGGAGTATTAAAAAAGATATTTTCGGATATTTTCTATAACAAGATGTTATATTTTTTGAGCTCTTTCTCTTTCAAGGAGCTGCAATGAAGTTGACTTACGGATGACCTTTAATGCCTTCCACAGGATATTTGCTGGAGAGTTGAAAACCAAACTTGAAAAACATAATCAGTCTACGAAGTTGTGTGTACAACTCCCCCCTACTCGCTCCACCCTCTCTAGCTGGAAATTAAGTACAATTTTCATTTTAAATTAAGCTGCTAGAGCATCCCCAGCGCCCCACACAGCAGGCTCCCACTCAGCCACCAGCCACGAACCTCGAGCCAGCGCCATCCCACGGAAAACGCCGGCTCAGCTTTCGACGTCATTAATCACCACAGAGGCAGCAACAAGAGCAGAAATATCCCAGCCAAAGAGCATTTGTCAGAGTCTTTGGGTTACTTTTGCTCGGGGAAAAGCATTTTCTAATCGCTACCCCCTCACACAAAACAAAAAAAAAAAACAGAGTTGGAAAAAGTTGCGCCCAAAAATCGGTCTGGGGAAGCACATGTCAGTGGGGATGTCTATGGGGAGGGCCCGCTGCCCAACTATGGTAGCCCCCCCCAATGGCTGAGGCCCACCTGTCTGGGCTCCACTTTGTTGTTTTGTTTGGCGTATTTCTGCTAGAAAAATGGTCGCTAAATTTGCGTGAAAAGGCAAATAATTTGGAATTCCCGGGGGTTCTAAATAAGTAAATTTAAATTGCATTTGTATGCGTTCAAATTTGTGCTACTCCTTCCCTCCCTTTCTGCGGATCCACCAATGCGGAGGGGTGGGAGTTTTTGTGTGTTTTGGCCACAAGTTTTTGTTGCCTGCTGCTGCCGTTATAAATTTGCGTGTCAAAAGCGACGGGGTGACGGTGAAGGTTTTTCCGCTTTTTTTGATGTTTCGCATACGGAAGGAAGCTCTTCCCACCCCTTAGTCCACAGCCCTCTGTTTGGGGCAAATGTTAATGTCCTTATCAGCGCTTCAGCATTTTTACATGTGTCCGCATTTGAAATATGCGGCAGTGGCAACTGTTTTTCTGGCACTTTGCATGCACCCAGAGTCGGATCCGGGCTCGGTCTTTGGCAGTAAGCTTATTTTTTTGCTTCTCCTGTTGCTGTTGCCGCTTCCGTTGCAGTTGATGTCAAGTGTCAGGGGTCGGACAGTTGAAGTTATTTATTATAACGACAATTACACCAAATGTTGGCCAACAGTTCACGTGTTGGTCCTGTCAGCGGTCTCGCCAATAATTACATTTTCTGCAATTTCCTCAAATGGAAATTAGAAAATCGAAAGAGGACGGAGACGGAGCACAAGAGAAGAGCTTTTCATTGATATAATGTGAGTATTGTTATTCTGCCACACCCATACCTACACCCACACAACGCACACATGCCAATCTTTTCCAATGCCAGACGTCCACAAAGAAAGAGAGATTTCCCAGAATCCTTCGGCTCAATCGAATTCACCAAACCCCCCCGAAATCGGTGAAATTTGCTAATGTAATGATGCTTAAAAGTGTTTCAAAGAATTTCCTTTTGCCTGTTTTTTTTTATTTAAATGCCAGCATGTGTGGACCCAATGGGGAGTATGTGTATTGCCAGAAGAAGTGTGTGGGGGTGTGTTTGATTGAATTGAAATGCTTTGCCAAAAAACTTCCATCCTCCTTGTCTCGCCCTCCCTTTCGCTGTTTTACATTCAATGATGGCGGAAAGTTGCAAATAATTTGCCTAATGTATCCAGCTAGGAGCCGCAAGAACATTGATAGCCAGAGTGGACTCCGGGCTGGGGGTTGGGGCTGTGGCCGTAGGAACTCGTATCTATGATCACCTCATCTGCCAAAGTGCGGAGCGACGCGTCGCTGCGGGGCCTTCACACATAACGAGTTATACGAAGTAGAAGTTTTTATCGTGCCTATCGTTATACGAGTCAATTACTGCGGCTGTCTTCTTGCCCCCGCTTATCGTTGGCCATAAATCTGCCCCCCCCCCCCCCCACAACTACGTGACTGTGTGGCAGGGAAGTGAACATTCTAGGCAGGGGATTCACTTCCCGATCGGCATGGATGAGAGAAGCAAATCATGGAAAATAACCATCAAATATACCCAATTAACAACACACTGCTAAACTGTAACTTTTTCTTTCTGTCAGCCGGTTTAATGCCACAGTTAAAGTGTACTTAACTTCCCACTGGGTATATATGTACATACGGTATATTTAGCCTCCGAGTCGTGAACAGCCAGATTTAGGTGCAGATTACGATGAGTTAAATATTTACTGTTTTATAATTAAGTGTCCCAGATTCTAACTTATGCTTACAAACAGAAATTTATTCAGGTTCAAGATATCTTTAATTGAACTACAGATACGAGAGTTTGCTGGGCAATCATCTAAACTTGTGTGTGTACCTTCATCATTTAATTTGCACTGCAATTATTATAGAACTATTATGGAAAACCCCATTCATTGTGCTAATATGATTCATTTTCGTTTGAGATTTTTGTTGAAATCTATAAAACGATTTATAAGTCGTAAAGTTTCGGTTTTCTGATAATTATCCCCATAATGCTCCCATGAAAATGTGATTTATAATGTTGCAACATCCATCTGGTTGCAGCGCCACTTCAACTATTCATTTAGAGCCACTCGAGCGTGTCGATACACACCCACTTGGAGTGAAAAGCCAGCCCGCCCGCCCCATAAGTTCAATGCCATAAGTCTCCAGACTCTTCTGAGGTTCCCGTAGTTTTTTCTTTTTTGTTTTCTTTGCCCTCGGTGTTTGCGGATGCCGTGCGGATGCTCCGGACGGGCTCTAATGCCATGTGTTTCTGTGGGCATATTTAACGAGCACCTGCTGTGCCACTTCAGCCACTATAATATGCCAAATTAAAACTTTAACTAGCGCGCCGAGAGTCCTCCAGCGTCGGCATAAAGAGTGCAAGTGCAGCAAAGCCAGCGACAGACTGTCATCATTATCATTAACAGACACTGCCGTTCCGTGCCACCTCCCTCCCGCATTCACACTCACATTCCACTATCTTTCGCACCTTCTCCGAGCGGTCCCATTTGATCCGTACCGTTCTCCTGCTCCATCCAGCATCTGCTGCGCTCCTCCTCCTCCTCCTCCTCTAGCTGTTGTGGCGCTTATGAGTATTATTGTCACTGTACTCGACAGTGGAGTGGCCGCCATGTACGCCATGTAGCGCTCGCACCCAAAAAGTGGCAGAGGCGGAGAAAGATGGAGCTGGCTCCGAGGATGGGAATGAGGTGCTCCAGCTCCAGCTTCCGTTGCAGTTTGTTTTTCATGCTCCTCCCAGACGGCTTAGTGTCATAAGCATGTGTATGTGTATGCGGATGTCTATGGGTGTATGAGTGTGGCATAAAAAACTAAATGAAGGCGTTAATCTCTTCAACAAACTAAAGTCCGTCTGGTGAGTCGCTTAGTGGCAAGGTTTATGTTGCACATACACATAACTCTGCTTGCACTTTGGCCTAATATAATTTATGCACTGGAACTGCCATCGCAACAAGGAAAGCGGAAACCTCCTCTCACGGTATCCCAGACAACGCAAGTAGTTGCATATGTAATTACGTACTCTCGGATAATGCCAGAGCATTAGTGGCAGCCACTTTTAGTTCATTGTAAAAGTGAATGTGAAGCACGGGAAAGGAAATGATGCAGGAAGAACAATTACACTTCAAGAATGCTACAAAAAACCATTAGAAAAAACTTTGCACAGGAAAAAGAGTTGTCAGAGGATTAGGAAAAGCTCTGACGTCTAAAATGCTGTCTACTTCAAGGCCCCCATTTCAGTATTCCATTCACTTATCAAAGCAGAATTTAATTATAGAACAATAACATTTCCAAAGAGTTCGATAAGACGCCTTTCATTGGTGTCGTACTTCGTGGGGCTTGGAGCAACGGCTGCTCCCATTTATTGGCATCCACTGGACATGCCTCGTAGGACTAAACCAAAACCTCTGATGGTCGCAAGTGCTTTGTGATTTTGCATTCCACTCAATATTGTGGCACATGCGTGGCTTTAGTACCCAGGCTGAACGCCGTGCAACACATTGGCGCCAGTGTGCCCGCTCTCGCAGTCCAGGACTCTCTCTTCGCAGAGAGCGCCTGCCACACTCGTTTTTCTCCAGAGAGTCGCTGCTCTGCCAGCTGTTGGGTACGAAGCAAGCGGCAACTTGGTTTATTTCCTTGCCTCATCGCCTGAAAGTGTGCTTCGGGTTTTTCCCTTCTTACAGATTTTCCCTTGACTGTTTTCTCTTCGCTGTTTTTTCCCCGTTGTCGTGAATATGCCTTGGGGGGCGTGTGGGGTTGTTGGGCTGAATGGTGGGGCTGGGGTGCTGTTGTTGCTTCTGCTTTCAATTCAATTTTTCGCCAGCTGTTGTGCTTAATTTGAACTTTAAGCATTTTCCTCGTCCGCGTTGTTGCTTTTCTTTCCATAGTTGTTGCTGTTACTGTTTGGGCATTTCCGGCTTTAACGCTGTGGCTTTTTCTGTGGCTGCGACAGCTCAATATAAGAGTATATACATATGTATATGTATACGCATACGTATACTTATAAGGAGAAAAGTAGCCGATTACCAGGCGCATTGCCCTAGCATCGAGGAGTCCCTTCACCCCAATCAGAGTGGGATCCAGAGACTTAAGGCCTTTGTGGGTCAGCCAGCCAGCCAGTCAGTCAGCTTTTTAACCGCTAATGAAGACTTATATCGAGGCAAACGGCTGCTTGGCAATGCACTTATTTACGGTTAGGGCTCTGAGAGTGCGCATTTCCCTTGCCGGAATGTTCCGAAATACTATACCGAAATATAGACCGGTTGACAGTATAAATAATGTGTTCCTTTGCCAGAATTTATGGCACTTGTATGTCTTCTGGTCTTCGGCAGCAGCACTGTTCGACTGCTATAAATTAGACGGGGCGGCCAGTCAGTCGTCGGACCCCAAATGCGATGCGTGCCCCACACCCACACCCACACTCTCATATCCGACACGCAACAAAACACGCACACACACACACACACACACACACGTACTACTCACAGATGCCAAGACTCGCGTTTGTATGGGAGAGTAACCGCCGTGGCCGTGTGGCATGCGGCTTTTGAGGTTTTAAAGCCTTTTGAGGTGACACATTAGGATTAGACAGCCATTAATTGCCCAGCACTCAGGGCACTCAAGGCACTCGATTACACTAATTAGTCTGATTATTAAAGTAAGCGCACTTAAATGGTCGTTATGTAGATACAAAGGCCGCTTCTGGCAGATTTATTTCACGAGAATCATTAAAAGTACTCCTTGCCCACATCTAGGATATCGTACAGCAGAGGCAGCAGGGCCGACGCGGTCCGTGATGATGGGGAGGACCATGGTGATGCGGCGGTCCGTGATGTCCGCCGTGATGTGGTCCGCCATGTCCACCGTGGCCTCCGTGGCCTCCGGGTCCTCCGTGTCCTCCGTGCGGTGGTGGCATATTTGTATGCTCTGGTGTTCTGCTTTTGAAAATTTAGGTGCGATACTAACCAGCTCTTGTGGCCAACTAAATCCCAATCGACAGCTGCTTCAGCGCTTATCAAAGCTGTTCCCCCCACTCATATAGATAAGGTCCTATCTAATCTACTTTGTATAACTTGCTAATCGATAAACTAGTGCAAACATTGGCATAATATTATAGCTATGGCGATGAGTAAGACCTTGTAAATGAAGATAACCTCGTCTGTTCGTCGTTAGTCATCCAAGGAAAACCCCTATAAGGTTCCCTTTTGAATACCAGAGAAAAACATCTGGGAACTTTTATTTTTAGCGTAATCTATGAAAGAAACGTCTATTCTAGCGATACTTCGTTTTATTGTGCAACCCAGTGATAAGATAACTCCAGAGTTGGACAGAATTATGTGGAACTTCAGATAGCACGACTTTTATTCTTCCCGGAATGTACTAAATTTCGATTGAAATAAAAGTGAAACTAGTTCTCAGAAGAACTTAACTTGTATTTTTAATTGATTCGCAATAATTACTTTCCTCCTTGGGCAGACTACACAAGTGACAAAATTATAATCCACTTGATTCCCGTTCCCGATTAAGCACCATATGTCAGGGCCTGCAATCCGCAATACAATGTTCCGCTTGGTGTACGGCTGCTATTTACTTTCCGCCTGACCCAGTTTTGAAGTCAGGGGAAAACTATTCGTGAAAAGCAGCAACCAAGACTCAAACACTGTGCAAGAAAATGGAAAAACTTCAGCGCGGAATGGGCAGTGGATTGGGCTTTTTGAATTCAATTAATTTTATCTGCATCAATTTTCCTTTATAATCGCATCAGAGTGAGGCGGCAACAGCCCCAGCCGGTGTATCCACTCACATGAGCATTCGTAAGGAGAGGGGAAAGCGAAAGGACGTTACCCCAAAAAGGACCACAACTCGTAAAATATATAAAGTCATTGCAAAAGCCAATTTGTATATCAGTGATGGCAGACCAGGCCCAGGCCCAGGCCCGGCCCTGGCCCTGGCACGGCGATTATCAAACTGCGAATGAGGCACAGAGAGGGGTTCCCATTCCCCTCGCCGTTCCCTTACCCACAACACAAACTTACTTAAAATGCTCTTAGCCGAATGGGGGTATAACCTTCTGTGCAGGGGAGCTGCTCTGCATGAGCCACAGTCAAAACCAGATCCTGCGCCTGGGCCGTGCTTTCATGGTAACAATTACATTTCACAGATTTTCTTCTTTTTTTTTTTGGGGTCGCGTGTGCTGTTGCATGTTGTTGGTGCGCGGTTCGCTTTCGGTGTCCTTTATTTTGGGCTTATGGGGCCGTACATTATCGCCGACGCTAGTCGGGGTTTGGGGTGGAACCGGCGCTGATGTGCGACGTCTAAATACGAGAATGTTGTGTGAAAATGTTTAAAATCCACGCAAGCCTCTCAAGCGCAAATGCTCAGCACGCCATAAGTGTCGGCCGGTGAGGACGAGAGCGAGGATTTTCCTGCTGTGGTCCTGGCCAAGGAGTGGCCACTTTTGCATATCCCCACCCGCCCAGTGGATGGCGTGGCGAGAGCCCAGAAAGGAAGTAAATAGTGGAAAAGGCATAAATAATAGCAAATAATACGGCGACAATGCGCACAAATTTGCCGCTAAAGTGTAGTCATTGTCGAGCGACCCAGCTAGTCCTTCGTCCTTGCTCCTGGGGCCTGGGGCCTGGGTCCAGAGTCCTTCGAACTGTGCGTGAGCCCTGCCCAGAACCTGCTTTTGCTTTTTGCATGATTTTGCTGTTTAAATTTATTACACACTAGATTTATGATCGCGTTGAGTTGTCCCTACCGGTGGCCCCGCTCCCGACACTTATCATTGCCTTTTGTGGCCTAGCGCCCACTCGGTTCCCATGCCCCATGCCCCATCGTCGGGCCCGCGCGAACTCGGGACTCGGGACTGGAGACTCAGGACTGGCTTTAATTTCATTGTTACCCGTATAATTCCTATTTGAACTGGGGTGTGAAGCACAATTTATAGGCGCTTTTCAAGTGATTTCTTTCGCTCGGTTGCCACACAATCATCGAGTGGAGTGGAGTCTCCTTCGTGTGTGTCTGTGTGTGTGTGTGTGCCACTTCTGTCACTTCAGACTTGCGGTTGAATTTCCATAGCATTTTCCGCTTTCCTCTTTTAATCACATGTTTTGGCCCAGCCCAGCCTTGCGTGGCTTTTAACGTAGCCGCAGGCGCTTATTAGAAGTGTGACAGAATTCAAAATTGAAGAGGAAACGTATACGCCTTGCCACTTGCCACTTGCCACACACGAAGGTCCGCTCCAGTGGCACAAATGAAAACGACGCAAACTGTAATTTGCGGTTGGAAATATAAACTTGTATCTGAATAATATGCAGTTTGGCTGTGATTCAGTTGGAAAAGTGCACAAATGAACAGTATTATAAATTATAAACATTTTCTCATCAACCAAAGATCATATATATATATATATTCTATATTCTATATTAACAGTAATTTAGCTTATAAACCATAATTCTTTTGATATTGGGGCAGGCATTGCTAAATTCAGAGAGCTTCCCTTTAGCTTTTCAATAAAATTCGAACACAGCCTGAAACCAGCGAAAAGCCAGCCTTTAAAAAGTACGTACCATTGAAATGTATGGGCATTATATTTTTATAGGACAAACCTTTTAGATCGCATTTGAATCGTTTTACCTCAGAGCTCAACTGAATTTTATTTAGAATGTTTTGAGATATATCTAAATTTAAAGTACACTAGCTTGCGAAGCCTTTTACAAGTAAATCATTTTATTCACATTTCAAACTCTAAGAAAATCAGATAGATAAACAGAAATACAATGGCTTCGATTGTGGGTGCGCCGCCATCGGCTGTGGGCGAAGCCGTACAACCATGGCAGAAGTTCGACTGGCCGGAAGAGATCGAGCAACATATCTACAAGGACTGGGGCATCTACTACTCCCGCCGTCGCAGGGAGAACATTGCCATGCACTACTTCAACAAGGCCCTCGTGTTGGATCCCAAGGATCACATGACAATGTACAAGCGCTGCCAGAGCAAGCGGAAGGCGGCCCAAACCCAGGGAGCCCTGCTGGACAGCAGGGAGGCTGCGAGTGAGTATATCGGGGGGAATTACCATCCGAGAGCCTGCGACTGAGCGACCCTTTGGTGTGTGCAGGAATGGCCCGAGCCACGAGTGGAGAGAAATCCTACATCAACCTGGAAATATGCGATGCCCAATACGAGCTCAACCATTTCGAGAACAGCCTGGCCGAGTTGCACAACAACGTTCGACATTTCAAGGGGAACAAGACTAAGTGCTTCGAAAGGCGCTTGATGATGGTAGGTTCAGCTCTGTCGGAAGTTCCATTCCATTCTATAGCGGTAACTCTGCCAGGTGGACGAGGTGATCAACGATTGCATGGGCGAGGCGATGACCGCCTTCTTCTCGAAACACCAAAAAACAGTAGAAATTGTGCACGATCTTATGAAGGCCAACGAGATAGTGGACAAACGTCCCTTGTGGAAGGTGCTGCGGGAGCAGGAGAAGTGCGATGTTCTCAGCATTCCCGAGGTGGAGGTTCTGTTGCTCTCCCCCCTGGAGATTGCGCGCAGAAAGCGGGCCTTCAATATCTTCTATCAGACGTACCTGGACGAGTCCTGGATAGATATGGTGTTCATGAAGAAGATGATCAACAACCCCGTGCTTCTGCTGTCCCAATGCAAGGAGTCCTTCCACTTCCTGGACAAACTCACTGTCAAACAGTACGATATTGTGCGCACATTTATGGTGAGAGATCGAATACCATGTGCTTAAGGGTTTACCAAGCCAAAGCTGGCCCTTCCACAGAAAATGCTGCAATCGCGTAGCCCTTTGTATTACGGGAACTACATGAAGTACAGGAACAAGAAGCTGTCGGACAAGTACCGAGAGGCCTTCCTTTACCGCATACAGTACCAGACATACCGCACCATGAACGCGGCTCTGAAGCGCGTTCGCGTACTGCGCAAAGCGAAGAAGATCAAGGTGAGCCCGAAGAGAAATAGGGATTAGGGAAAACGTAGTATTTAACAACATGTCACCCCGCAGGCCTTGACCAAGTTCGTGGAGGAGGTGATGGGCGAATACGTGGTGAAGAAGACGCACCGTGTGATGTGCTGGAAGTTCGAGTTTCTTAACGAGATGTACAACACCCTGGGACTGGCCCTGGCCGAACAGCTGATGCCCCCGAAGAAGTTCAATGCCGCCACAACGTCCCTCCTCAAGCTGCTGCATTTGCCAACGGACAAGGTTAAGGAATTTGTGTCATTTGTCTTTGGGGATCGCAACACACACCCGGAACCGGACGCCTACGATCCCGCCGCCGCGAGGGCCAAGTAAGACCACATCTGTTTATTAATCGAATCAAGAGGAGTGTCTCATAGTGTCTTGTGTTAACCAAAGGAAACTGCTGGCGCGCCTCGAGCACAGAATGATCTTTGCCAAATACTCGATCGAAAAGTGCTATCTGCTGCACCAGATATCGCAATGCCATCTGGACCAGGGACGGCACTCCGAGTGCGCATTCGTTGCCCGTAAGGGCATGAAAGAGTCCGCGAACTGCAATAGCCACCTCTGGAAGTTCCTCAATGTGGTGCAGATAGTCAAGGCCAATGCCGTGGTGCACAAGCTGGAACAGACCAGAGACGCCCTGTCGGATGCCCTGCCCATCGCGCAGGCCCTGAAGTCGCAGGAGCTGGTGTCATTTGTGGAGATCTGCATGGCGTGCAACCAGGAGGAGTTCGTCACGAAGAAGAACACTGTGACTCTCAGTCGTCGCCCAAGCAAGGCCGATTCTAGTAATCGTTCGAACAACAGTTTCAAAATGGACTCGAAAGACCGCTATTAGTTATCAAGTTTTTATTGCTTATTTATTTTTGCAAGATCATTTTATAGGAGGGCCACCAACCCTTGTGGGTTTTAACTTACTTTCCGACATTAAGGGCAAATTTTAAATCCACTAAACAAACATCAGACAACGCAAAAAAGGATCTGTAGAGCTCCGGCTGCGCTGAGTCCTACAAGATCTACAATTTGACAAAGAAATGACAATAAATTGCTGGCACTGTTCTCTGCCGAAAATCGTTAAACTGTTACAATTATTTGAGTACTTGATATTAGTTTTCCCACAAATCTGCCAGATCATAATATGCTAATACTCGCCCTACCATTCAAGACCAATTAGAGTCAAATGAAATCCAAGCGATTTCACTTAGTTTTGAGCACTTAAAATTTGTATTAAAAGGTACTTTACTTCATCCCAAACCCAAGTAAAGTTCTTAATGCACTCGCAATCTTCATGGCCAGCAATAAAATGGCAGGCAACGTGTGATTAAAACTTTTCTTCCGTCCCACATTTTGAGGGAACGCCTCCTCCCTCCACATACAAAAACACACACATACTCTCGTATACCACCTGGAAAAGGTGTCGTAAAAATTCTATCAACTCGATTAAATTATAACAAGTGGATTTTCATGTTTTTGTGCCGCATTTATGTGTTTTTATTGTGCTAATTTTATGCGAGCTCTGGCGCGGCGCCTCAAGGAACAGGCAGCTCCTTGGGCAATTTTGGCAGAACTTCCCCTCCGCCGCCCCCAGCGGCGCCACACCCACACAACCACATACTCGCATAGATAGGGTCCTGTGTCGGGGACTGCAATAATACTTGGCACACATTTAGTGGCACCATTTAGTGGCACACTGCGGTTTCGGCGCCAACGCCACCTCCGCGGCAGCGAAGTTCATTCTTGGGACATTTCCACTCTGCCTTCCCCTGCCTGTTCATGCCACACTTGGCAAAGTTTTCGGCCTACCGTGCCACTCACTTCACCTGCCGCCACCTGGTGTGGCATGCCCATGTCCTCTCCCGCTCGCACTGCCACTGCCACTGCCTTTGTCTTATCAAACTTTCTGGCGCGCATGTGTTTATGCCACAAATGGCACTTTTGCGGCAGCGCATTTTATTTTTTACTGCCACTTTTCGCCATTTTGCTTTATCATTTTTATATGTATTGTATATATATATGTGTATGTATGTAAATAAACCGAGGTCCTGGCCTCGGTTAAAGCACAAACAAAAATGGTTTTATATATCGAATTTTACTATATACACTATGTGTGAGTAGAAGAGATTGCATTAATAGAATCTTTAAAGATTAAACAATGGATTGGGTATCCCGCTAGTGCTGTCAATCGATCAGCACTGATCTTGTAACTAAATCGAATATTTTTCCCACAGATAAATGATTAAAAATCGGTCATTATCTCGACTATATAGTTGTAAAACTCTTCCAGCATCAATAGGCAGGTATGCGGATATCCTTAATTTGTTTTTGTCACATTTCACCAACAGCCAAAAGTCGGACTAGAAGTCGGAGCCTCTGCTTGTAGAGTAGAGGAATCCCAATGGCCGCCTCCGTTTGGGGGTTGGGTTTTATTGTCCCCAAAGAGGAGGACACCCGCCGAAAGGTGTGCAGCCAACTAATGACCCTGTATTTATATGACAGGGGAAAGTTTATAAATATTTATGGGCTCTGCTGTTGCTTCTGCCGCCTTTGTTGCTTACTTTCATCAAGCTCGAACTCATTTGCTTATTTTAAAATTCCAAGCAGGCGTAGTTTCATTTTTGACACCCGACATCCCACAGCCCACAGCAGATCTGCCGCACGTTGTTGCCATTGTCACGCACACACGTACTATATTTTTTACGCGCATATCATATTACACACACACGCACTCCCTTGGAGTTGGCTTAAAGGACTCGACGACCCCTTTCCCAGGACGGGGATGTTTTCAGCGGCCCCATCGAAGGTTTGGGGCCCCGTCGTAGTAAATAGAATCACGTACACTAATTATCATCGCCATTGCAGGAAGGATGCTCAAAAATATATATATTTTTATTAATTTCTGTAAGGTAACGCCCCCTTTTGTAAGCCAGCACCTTTTCCATTTCGCCCCCGCACGTCTCACGCCGGTCATGGGGAAAATTTTAATTGAGATCCCCGCTCGGTGATAGGCAACGAGGAACTATTTGCCAGAAATTGACGCGGATGGGGATGCTGAATGGCATCAGTCGCATGGCTGGTTTCGAATGCAAAGTGCGTCCCCAAATGTAGTTTTGAATGTGTAGGTTTAGATAAGGTTGGTTACCCATACAATTAGCTGTCCTATTAGAGGCGTGCGAGTACGAGTAGTATGCGTCATTAGGGTGCTTCAGGTTCTACCGATGGTCGGTGTAATGTGATTCGGGGTATTGATAAGCAGCGCTGTTGAAGGTATTTTCGAAATAAATTCAAAATCCCTACCTGTTAACTATTTGAGAGCTCTTTCAGATACTGCGACTTAGATTGTGCATTGAGGGACCTGATTGGAGCAAGGTTATATACAACTTGGTACTAAAATATCCTTAACAGATGGAAAATAATGTAATCTATAATTGATAATTACCCTATCGAAAGAACTTGGGCAGATATGAGATTAACGTACACGATAAATGCTACCAGAAAGATAAGACGATTATATGAATTCAAATAAGATAAGATCGTAGCATTAGATATATCTTCTGCCTATCATATTTATTGTTTGTGGAAAATGGAAAAATGGAATTAACGATCTTACAGTTCTCTTTTCAACCCAAAACTGTCCAACTCTACTTTATATCACATTGTCATCATTCAAACGATGTGTGCACCTATGAGTGTACGTAGTACCCCCAGAAACACAGGGTACTTCACACAGAACAGTGCTCGCTTTAGACTCTGATAAGAGCCAGCCCCACTGTGACTTTTATCTATAGATAAGACTCGTCGCGCAATAGCCCGAGATTGGCAAGAACTTAGCTATAATAGTAAAATCCAGCATATTGTCCAGTGCCAGACAGAACGCGCTCGGTGCAACAAGTCGCTTCCGATCGACCTTAAAGAACTCAAGAGCATGGACCATCGAACTCGTGTCGTAGAGGTGGTCCAAGTGGCCCCGCAGCCGGCCACCACGGTCATCGTCCAGACGCCTTCTCAGCCGCCGCCCAAGGATAAGGGATGCTGCTTCTGCCCCTGCTGTCCGTGCTGCTGTAGCTGTGGCGATACCTGCTGCTGTTGCACTATCATGTGAGGGAAGGGAACACTTCCAGAAACACTGGACCACCGATCCTTAAATGCGTTACGTTAAATTAACTTTCTATGTAGAGCCATTCGAGGCAACACGATTCCCAGAGTTTTTTCGTGCAATAAAATTTTACGATTTGTTATAAATAATGCTTTACACTCCGACCCCGCAACGCTCTCGTTCGGTCTCTGTTTCTTGGGACCTCGGAAAACATATTGTCTTACATAAATCTAAATGCCGGGGCCGTATCATAAAAAGCCAAATTTAATAACATGCCACAAAAATTTGTAGTTTTATGACACAGCACACACATAACACAAGGCCTGGCAATCCTTTCCGGATGCGGGTGGGAAATGGTTGCCGCCACATCATTGCGAAGTTAGTTCGCATTCCGAGCTATTATTTATTTGTGGCTCGATTTGCCAATAAAACCGGAAAATGTGTCAAAAGTGCTGCCAACTTTGGCTCCATGCCCAGGCTGCTCACATTTGATAAAGGATTTTATGACTTTGGCTTCTGGAATTGCAACCGCAGCCTCAGAGTTCCTGCCCCAAACATTTTGACAAGGGTGTTGCCGGAGAAAGAGTGAGTGTGCTAGTAGTGTTGGTTCTCACCTACCTATAATTTGTGCGTATGATTTTCCTTGGCCAGGTTTTATCTAAAGCCCAAACAAAATTACTCATACGCAATGTGATACGGTCGCCCAAGAACTGTGGTGCAGGCTCGAAATTGATATGTGTGATTTATTTCGATTTTTCGATCAAAATATATGTATTTATTTGTGCAGCAATGAATGAAGATATTCAACAGAAATTGTTTGTCGGGATTTATGTGTTATTTCAACTCAAATTGCTGGGAAATATCGAAACAATCCAATACCCTTTTATACTCAAAGTGTATACGAATTTTGCCGATGTATGTAATAGCCCGAAGGAAGCGTTTCCAATACCATAAAACATCAATAGTCGAGTCGATATAGCGATGTTTGTGTGTCCATCCTAAAGAGCGCCTAGATCTCCGAATACGACCCAGCGCAGCCAAATTTTGTGTCGAGAATCCTGTGGTAACACACCAGGAAAAACTGCCAAGGAATGCGTTGCAAATGGAACAATCCAAAATGTAAACCCGACACATATATTTATCTATTTTTATATGTTGCCATTGCCCCACTGTTCTGTTGTCTTTTTTCAATATTTCGTGTACTTGCTCATATTCGTAATCAGGGCAGCTCATTGATCAAATTCCCCGGGCTTTAGATAAAACTGCGTAAAATATATGTATATGCCGAGCCAACTTTTCTTCGTTGCTTCAGTTATAGGCACGTTCCCGGGCAGCCACCACTTAGTCGAACCGTTTAGTCAAATTTAGTTACTCCAAAGCGACCAAGGAATCAAAGAAAATGTACTACAATCAAGGCTACCAAATGGACGTGATCGATCCGTACTACCCACCGCCAGTGGAGGTCATCGAAGTGATGCAGCCCCCGCCGCCAGTGGAGGTGATTATGCCCTCGCCCATGTACACACAGCCCGTGGTGGTGGTGGAGCAGCCCCCCTACGGCCCGACCGCCACTGGACCCTCGCAGGGGGAAATGGAATGCTGCCTGATGTTGGGCGCCTGCTGCGTCATGGAGGAGTGCGGCATGTGCGTCATCTCGTAGACCCGAAAATATGGATTAATGACCCTGTAAACTAAATAATAAATCTAGACTGAAACCGAATATGTCTCAGCGTTGTGGTGACTCAAAGGTGCTGACAATCGGGGCTAGAAAATGATACTCCCACTACGAGCAAGCCACAGATAAACATTTCTATAAGTTCTATAAGGGAATTTGTAATTATGAAATTCTCGGAATAAACTGTAATCTGATTAAAGCTTGTGTTAATGCATGTTGTACCTGAGACTCCACCTCTGAATGGTCGCCGGCTCCACATAAATTTCAATGACAATAAATTTTAGCTCTGCCCAACGTCAACGAGCACTCTGATAGATAGGCTTTCAACAACGGAACCCCATCTCCGGACTACCGAGTCCATATTTTGGGGAAACTGTCAAAGAAAATTGACTGTGTGCTGTGCAACATTTTTCCTGCAAAAAAACATTCATCCCCCGGTGGAGACCACGCCTATACTCATTTCCTTGGGTTTTCCTTTTAATAAATATAAAGCGTTAATTTGCTGCATAATTGCGCCCTGCCACACCCAGTAGAGTGCCATGCCAGCAGCAGGCGGACACCGTGGTGTCGTGTCCCAGTTAAGTGGCGCAGCCTCGCACTCCATCAGGCGACGGCTCAACCCGACTGTATCCAACCCCAAGAAGTGGGGGCGAAGCGTTGTCTATCCACCATTTGCGCTCCCTTTTCCATGTCTTCAATGACAGTTATTTCATTTTTCTTGTTGATGTCTTTCCCTGCACTCATTAAATCAAGTTAAAAAGGCATATAGCCGTAGCAGGCATGGGCTGTTGTTCTTGCTTCCGTCGGTTGCCGCTGCCGTTGCCGTTTCCGTTGTAAGGCAAGCTGTTGATGTTGTTCTGGTCCTGCGACTTGGCTGTTCTTGTGGCTGAATGTTGTGGGGACCGCAGAAAACGACAAACAGCAGGGACAACAGACAACAAACGCCCGAGACAACGCACAAAATTTCAAAAAACATTTCACCGAACTCAACAAAAGAAACAATACTTTCGTAAAACGGAACGAAGCGGAGAAAGCGAAACTCCTTTGTACAGACAAACAGGACTTGGCTTTAATTATAATATCTTGGGAGTTGTGTTGTTGACATCCGCACCGACTTTAATGGCCCAGCCGCAAAGAGATGACATCCAGGACACCTGATGTGAAGAACGGATCCATATGACAAGGCTCCAATTCATCTCTAAACTTTGTAAATGCCTCCAAAAGGGTTGTACTAAAAGTAATATTGTGTAAAAGGGGAAAAACAGAAAATGTTACTCTTGGGAAATGCTGCCTGCATTTTCATGGCGTATAAAGATTGAGATTATATATGTATGTACTGTTAGTTCTATTCCTGATTAGCTAAATCATTCTATCTGTGTGTTTCTATAAAAATCTATTCAAAGCTGCACTTCTAGTTTTGAAAAAAATTAATAATAAATTGCCAAAGAACTTTGTTGATTTGCCATAACGATATCAACCTCAAATCTTGGAATACAACTGCAAACTAATGCATAATCCGTGTTTGCCCAACGCGGACAACGCACCCACGCACTTAGCGAATCACCCACCCACCCAGTGGACAAGATTTCCACCCTCTGAGCGCGTATAGGGGTTGGGCAGTGAGAGGGTCTACATACACAGACCTTTTCGCACATCTATGCTTGTTGCATTTCTTGCAAGTAATTTCTTTATGAGTTTTTACTGTTTTTGGGCCCCTTAATCCTTATAAATGAAGCAGCAAATTTGATGCTGCAAGCAACGTGCTTTCCTCCCTGGATGGGCGTCGTTCTTGTTAATTCTCCCCTATTTACCACAGTAAGTTGACTTAATGCATTCGCTCGTCCAGTGCCTGTCCTTTACATCTCTCTCTCTCTCTCTCTCGGGGTCTTTCCTGCTAATACACGTTAATATCCTTTGAGCTATGAAATTGCGCTCATTTGTCAGGATTTGAGGGAAGGCCAGAGCAAGACACAGGATACAGGACACAGGAAATTGCAATTGTATTCCTTAGTATTTGTTGCTTTTCCTTCGGCTTTTGGCAATGATGATTTATTTGCCGCGCACGTGAGAATGCTCCCAGACCAGCGGGCAGTGGGGGTCTGCAGTGGGCGGTCTGTTGCGATCTGCCTCATTAATTTCTGCCTAACGGACTCATTAAAAACTAATCCGTCTTGGGAGTCCACATCGCTGTCTGCCTGACGCAGCTTGTTAGCGTCAGATCGGCTTAAAAGCCGCTTGACTTGCGAAATCAATCGGATAGAAAAGAAATGGCAATTGGAGAGTGTTTATGGAAAGCCATCCAAGGAATTCAATTTGTTTTGTTTTGTTTCCATTGCTGGACGGCTTCATAATTCGCATGGTAATTCGTAAGTACCTGTACTTAGTCGTTGCAATTCGAGTAATTAATTACAAACTTGTTGGAGTTATAATTATATGGCAAAAAATTGTAAAAATAGTAGCAATTGTACACATTGGCCAACCATCCACCCGTTATCCATTAGCTGATGAGTAAACAAGAAAGACGGTCATAGCGCTGTGATGACTGAACGACCTGGAATTGTAGCGAAAATGAATACTTTTTAAAACGGAAAAAATATGAATGTCAGCATTTAGCCACGCATTAGGACACTCAACCTAGATATGTACATAAGCTCAGATTGTTATGGTAGCGGGGTCCTTTGTGGCAACATCACCTGGGCAACAAGGGGTTGAGGATAAAACGTGAGCACTGACCCGCTAAGTGCCGTTCGACTCATGGCTCTCCCGCTCGCGCAAAGGATGCTTTTGCGTTTCTCATTGTGTCAAGTGCAAAATGTGCAATGCATGAGACAAAGCGACCGCATACCGCAGTCGCTCTTTCACTCTCCTGCCATATAACGGTAGTGTAAGCTTGCATTGTGCTAGGCTAGAGCGAGAGAGGGAGAGGGAACAGAAAGCGAAAAACCAAATCAGAGGTAAGGTCGGACGTTTGATACCCTTGCAGATTCATAGTTCCAATGGCAGCGATCTCTTCTATCCCTTTTGTAAATATATTGTCTTTTGAGACAAACCACAGATTCTTGTTTCTGTTTTTTTTTTTATTTTTGTATAAACACCCGTTCAAAATCAGAAAACCCTCTGAAAGGGTATACAAAAAAAAACAACAACAAGAAGTAGAACTTCTCAGTGACACATTTGGCAATGCGTTTTTAAACTGGAGAAAACGGAGAACAAAACGAATGTGGCAGCCGCAAAACAGAACAGAGCAGAGGGGCCAGAGAGAGGAAGACCGAGACCGGCAACAAAAAGTCAACTGCATGTGGGAAGGGGCGGGGTGTAGAGAAAAGTTTTAGCATTTTTTGTGCGCCTCGGCCTCGGCACTGAATTGCACTTAAAGTCAGCGCCAGTTAAAAACTTTTTCAAGCAGCAGCAGCAGGCAGCGCAGTCGACTCTCTGCTTCTGCTCATGCTTCTGCCCCTTTCTCTCCCTCTGCCGACGACTACACACAAAAACTGTAAAAACTAAAAATAGTCAAATAAGAGGATGAAGAAGATGATGTAGAAGAAGAAGAGAAAGAACTGTACTCTTGCATAGAGTGCGAAAGAAACAATTGAAAACTTTATTGCTTTTGCCTTTTTCACTTTTGTTCGCAAGTATGTTGCTCGCTCCCTGTCGAGGGCGGGGTGTGGAGGCGAAGAAGCCGTTGACAAAAAACCAGAATGTGAGCATGGAGCAGCAGCTAAGGAGAGTGGAGAGCGGAGAGCGGAGAGAGACGAGACCGGCAGCCAAAAAGAAGAGTAGCTTGAAAGTTTGGTGCTCTTATTAATTTTGGAACTGTGCTACGGATGCGGCTGAGGAGAAAAAACGGAGCAGGATGGTCAGCCACAGAGGGAGCCGCAACAGTACGGCTACTGGGTAAAAGGGGGGTGGGGGATAATGATGGGATGTGGGGCTACACTCTCGGCAGCTGTGCGGTCAGCTGGGGCTGCCCACTAATTGGCCTTGTGAAAATATTTGCTACGCTTATGAAAACAGTTGACCGCTGCCGCCTGCCACACGACCCTTGACTGAAATGACACACAGAATGGTCAAAGTGGCCCCAAAACAGTCTCACCCACACATGTACATAAATATGAGCACACACACACACAGAGCACAATATTCACATAATACCTTCGTTTATGCGATCGCTAAGTTTGTGAATAAAGTTAATTAAAGCAATGTAAATTATACATATATAAATATTTAAATATATAAAATATAAAATATATAAAAATATAAATATATATATAATAGAACATCACAAACAGCAAGGACGCATAAACATAATTAGAATCAGCCGAAACGGTCAACCAACCCACTCACAGGCAAACGAACACAAACGCACTGACTCGAAGAGACGACGACTCCGACCCAGTCCAATCATAGACACATGCCGGGCTGGCTGCAGGACCCTGCCTGTATGACCCTCAACACCCGCTCCACCCACGTTCACCCCACCAGCAAACACCGCAATTTTTGTCAACTGAACTAATTAATTAATTGTGGGCGGCCAGCATGGCCTTCCTTCCCAGTCGAGGTCGAAACGAAACGAAACGGACCGATCCAACCCAAACCACCCAACCACCGCCCACTTGCTAACTGACCGGCAACTAATTTTTATATTTATGAGGCGAGGCTGGCGAGCCGAGGGACGGGGCCGGGGGACTGTTGGCCTACTGCGTCATAAACTGTACCGTTTTGGTTGTTGCTGCTTTGTATGCATGTGTGTGTGTTGTGTGCTGTCTGCCCCGCCGACCTCCCCCTCCTCCTGGAGGAGTAGTGGCCATGTAAAGGACATCCTTGCCGCAGACTCCATGCCGTTTGCCCCAACATAAAGTTGCATGTTCAAATTTTTAGTATCTTTGTGTGATTTCATGCGTTAAAGCAGAATTTTTATTTGCTGCCCCGTAAAGACAAACGACAGAATACAGATAGATGGGATACACAGGGCGGGGAAGGATATCTGATGTGGGGGTTCCCATTTTCGTTTAATTTTCATGTCGCGTTGAAAGTTTGATACAAGT